TACCTCAATTTACATTATAGATATAGAACTTTTTAACCCACATAATGAAAGTGGCAACTATTTACAGTAACAGAAGTAAAAAGACCTCATTTTCTAATTATTTCATTCTAAATACAGGAAGAACAATCAGCATTAAATAGAAATATGTGAGAAAATTCAAATCTTAATACCCCACTCAGAATTACTGATTAAGAATATGACTTTTGATGAAATATAAGTAATCAATAAGTGCTTTTTAGAAACTCTGATACCTAACAATATTACACTACATTCAAAATGTATGTGTCTTTAAAAATATTATCATTACCGTGTATGATCTGTTTGGGCATGTGTGTCTGTACCTATGGAGGACAAAGGACAACTCTTTGGAGTTGGTTCTCTCTTTCACTTTACATGGGTCCTAGGACTGAACTCAGGTTGCCAGGTGTGTGTTACAAGCACCTTTTCCTGCCGAGTCCTCTATCTTACAACCAAAGCACCTGAGACTTAGAATGTGCACCATGGCTCCGAAAGTGAAGAGCCTGAGGGCTCCCTTTTCTCTCTAAGACGAGTTTGTCCCTGGATCCTAGCCCCTCAGCAGCTCTCTAGCAACTACTTCCCTGAGGAAGGCTTCTGTTCCTCACTGTCATTCCATGTGGACATTTACATAGTCTAGTTTTTATGTCTCTGAAGACAGAAGAGAGGACTTTTGAAAGTAACATCTGATGGCAGAACACCACGAACAGAGGCTCTCAAGTAATGGCTATGACTTACCACCATTTTATCAAAGCAGAAAGGACTCTGAAGAGCAATGCTACCACATTGCAAGGGACAGACATGCAACTGCAGGATATTATTACTTGGTTACTTAAGTGGCAACTTGATAAGAAACAGAAGTTCTCACTGGTAAAATACCAAGCAACAAAATGTTATTACAAGTCACTACAGCTGCAATCTATGTATGATGGCACAAGACTTCAGTCAAGGGGCTGGTGACAGACACAAGAATGAGTAGCAATCCCACATGACCTTGGGACTAGATCTCTTTAGAATTAGCAAAAGGCCAGGAGAAATCCTAAAAGTTGTGCTCTAAGCTCAGAAGCCAGGAAAGCCTAGAAAAGTGAACCAATAGTTTAATATGAAAGATGGACCAACCTTGGTTAAGGATAATCGGAGAAATGAGGGGAAAAGAGACCGCCTAGAGTCCAAAGCATAAGGAAGCCAAACGTGCTGTTCATCTCTAGCAATACAGTGATCCTTAGAAATGAATGGATTTCTGAATGAAGAATTTATTCATTAACTATACCATGTATAATGAACTATACCATTGTTTAATTAATTATACCACGTATAATTCTAATCTGAATCTTATATATAAAAAACATCATTTGTGCCAGGTGTGGTAGTACACACCTTTAATCCCAGGACTCAGGAGGCAGAGGCAGGTGGATCAATGAGTTTGAGGACAGTTTAGTCTACAAAATGAGTCCAGAACAGCCAGGGCTACACAGAGAAAACCTGTCTCAAAAAGCAAACAAACAGGAAGGGAGAAAGGAAGGAGGGAGGGAGGAATGGAAAGAGAGAGGGAGGGAAGAAGGAAGCAAAGAAGGAGGGAGGAATGGAAGGAGAGAGGGAGGGAGGGAAGAAGGAAGGAAGAAAAGAAAGAAAGAAGGAGGGAGGAAGGGAGGGAGGGAGGGAGGAAGGGAGGGAGGAAGGAAGGAAGGAAGGAAGGAAGGAAGGAAGGAAGGAAGGAAGGAAGGAAGGAAGGAAGG